AACGTTTAACAACTGGCTCTCCAGAAATGCATGACACACTTTTAAATTTAATCTACATTATTAACATTTTTTCCATCACTTTCTTAGAAATCACAATCTTAGAGAATTAACAAAACAGTTAATCAAGCCCTGATTTGTAGCACTGGCCAGTTTCTGAAATATAAATATTCATACTGAAAATTTAAAAATTGCTAGAACTGGTTCAAGTTGGTTCCAGTACACCCATTTTCTATGCTCTTCTGGCCTCCTTATTTTGGTAATTGCTTTATGTTGATTAAGCTTCCATAGGAAATAGTGATAGTCCATGTTGATGGATCTTTTGTCCATTTTTTTTTGCATCAGCAGCTTATTCAAATAGGTTAGTTTGGAGTTGCCCTGATTGGGTACCGTATCAACTGAACCAGAGGATTCTAACACCAATATTCTAGTTATGTCATATGGCTCTGAATCTGAAACTCTGAGGGTCTTCCATTCCCTGACTGATTCTTTTGTGAAGACAAACTAGGCCATCTTTTACTTCAATTCTTACCTATCCTTTAACTACTGAATGGGTGTTGCCTCAGAGAAACTGAGACATAGGGAAGACCTTAGCTTAAAAAGGCCAAGGTCTCCTACTGCATCCTGGTCCATTGCCAGCTGTCCTGACCTATGTCTTGCCACTGAACTCTGATGACACTGGAGGAGAAAGTGAGACTGACAACTTTGCATAGTCCTACCTCACTTAAATCCAATTTACTTGCCAGTCAAGACGTCACCCTGCTGATGTCATTGGTTCTCTTCGAGAACAAAGGATGAACAACAACAATGGCTCTAAATCATGGAATGGTATGCTCAAAAAAAAAAAAGGTCATTCATATGGCAATAGAAATACGTTTGGTGGGATAACACGTAAAAAGACTGACTACAAAGTATACCCATTCCCTACGATAATAAGACTTCTTCATTAAGTAATGAGAGCCTCCATCATTAAAGATCTTCCAACAAAGGTTGAATGACAACTTATCAAGGATGCAGTGGAAGAAATTCATAACAACATAACAACAGAAGTGTTGCTCTGCTAATTCATTCCTGACCATTTGTCATGGACAACGTTCTTTGATAAGTCCAAATAGAAGAATTCCTTCCAGATGACGAACTCCTCCAGATGCTTCTGTTTGTGGACAAGATGATGTTAACTGTCCCACAAAAGGGCTTCTTTGAGATCTATGGCCTGTCAAAAGATATCTGCCTGGCAATTTAAATAATAATAATAATAAACACTTATATGGTGCTTATTATGTGCCAGATATTGTGCTTTGTAAATATTTCATTTGATCCTCACAACTATTGTGGAAGGTAGGTGCTATTATTATCCTCATTTTACAGCTAGGAAACTAAGGCAAACAGAGGTGATATGACTTGCCCAGGGTGAAACAGCTATTTAAGTATCAGAGACTAGATTTGAACTCAAGTCTTCCTTACTCCAGACCCAACTCTCTATCTACTATACCACCTAGCTGCCTTCATATAGGAGAAACATGGTCAATGATACAGGCCAGATTATGACATGTAGTCAGCTTGGATAGGAATAGCAGAGGGACACTTTGTAGGGCCTACAGCTGTAGAGGAGGAGAAAGGAAGACTGGATCATATATAGGAAATCACACCATGATAGCAAGCTGTCCTGAAAAAGGTCTGTCCACATCAAATATCATCATGAAATCAATCTGCACTATTTGAAAGGATTAAGATCATGCTTTAATAAACAGCTATAATAATAGTAGACCTCTCCCCCTCCAAAAGAAAAAGTGCAAAAGAGCATTTGTTCAACAGAATTCCAAAAAGCCTGTGCAGAAACAATAACTGAATATTTATAATCTTCAGTGCTTTAATTCTTTAAATGCTGTTTTCCAAATTAAGCAATTCAACATCAGTTAAGGTACTTACAGTGGATAGGATGAAAGGAGAATTAGAGAATTGTGCCTCTTGTACTTTTTAAGTCCCAAGATTTACCTCCAGTGGTATAGGATTTCATATGTTCCCATCAGAGCAAATTCAATCCATGTGCATGATTGTTTGGGGCATATGTTAATATTTCAAAATTTGTTTTAACGATTTGGCAATAGACCAATGCCTGTACTTCTGCTCTAGGCCATGACTGGCAATAGAGTGCTTTAATGCATCTTAATAGGATTTTAGGGTGGAAATGGCTTAAACAGTTACTTCCTAGAGCAGCAAGTCAGGGTGGATTTTCTTTGCTGCTGGAGTTCAATAAATGTCATGTAGTCGTGTGCTTTGGAAATTAGCATGGGGTTTTCAGAAGAAGGATTCCATACCTCCTGTCCAGGAACAATCTGGCCAAGACATGAACTTCAAATTCTTTCCAAATAAAATAAACGAGACTGGTATGAAACAAACATATCCAGCAATGTGTCTCATCAGTATTAGCCCTCTACAACTGTAGTTAATTCCAATAGCATGAGTCAGAAACATTAGAGAAAGATACCCTAAACCCCTCAGGGGTACCCTTAGAATTCTGAGGGGAGTACAGCTGGCCTCACAGGAGAGGAGTGAGTGCAAAGCCAATCACTACATGCAACAAGTAAGAGTCAAGTTAACAAAGGTCTTACTACTTTGGTTTTAAAAAAAGAGGGAATGCCCATTTATTAGGCACCTACTATGGGCCAGGCATTGTGCTAAGTACCTTAAAATATTATCTCATTTGTAAATGGCAAAAATAAATGCATAAAGTCCTAGATTCCTCATCGTGGCAAGGGGATAGTCTTGAGTTTTTGAAGGCTCTGACAAGGAGTATTAATTCGGGTTCTATCAAGACAGAAAAACTTCAAGTCCTAATTTCATATTGTGTGCCTGTTTTCCAAGGACCAATGTAGCTAAGTTTAGAGGGCCTGCCATCAGATTGGCTGTAAAGTGATGATTTGGGAAAAGGAGGGCAGGGTTGAAGGGAGGACATAACAATATTTGAAGAGTAGCTATTAAGTCCTTACAAAGGATGTAATTTGTATAGTTTTTCATATTGGGGAAATCAGGGATGCTGGTGTAAAAGAGTAGAGTTATAAAGCTCAATTGCATCATTATTGATAAGGATAACTATTAAAGCATATTGTTATTTAGTCATTTTCAATCATGTCCAACTCTTCATGATCCCATTTGGGGTTTTCTTGGCAAAAATACTGGAGGAGTTTGTCATTTTCTTCTCCAGCTCATTTTACAGATGAGGAAACTGAGGCAAACAGGGTTAAGAGACTTGCCCAGGGTCACACAGCTAGTACATGTCTGAGGCTGGATTTGAATTCACAGAGATGACTCCAAGCCTGGTGTTCTAGCCACTGCACCACCTAGACACCCCATTAAAGCATAACTCTTTTTTGTTTTGGTTCCTAACATCTAATTATAGAATAATTTGAGAAAAATATATTTTAAGTTATTTTAAGAAAAGGTTTACAAATAGATCATAACAGGTCAAATCATATTTTTGCTAGTTTTCTTTTTTAATTAAAAAATTAAATATTTTTGTCAGAAACAACATGAAGTTTCAATATAAAAAGATTTTACTTTCTAAGAAACAGTTTATATTTAAATCAACTACTTTCATTGTTTAAAATATAACTCTTTACAATCCCTTCTTCTAATCTCCATTAGGATGCTTTGTCCATCCTTTCTCATTTCCTCATATGATCCTTCTTCTGGCATACTCCTTTCTACAAGTGTTTCTGCCGTTTTTTCATTTTGCATTATTTCATAAAGGTCTTTCCATATTTCTTTGTATTCCTCAAAACTGTTCATATTAATGGCTTTAAAATACTCAAGCAGGGGCAGCTAGGTGGCGCAGTGGATAGAGCACGGGCCCTGAAGTCAGGAGGACCTGAGTTTAAATCTGGCCTCAGACCAAACACTTGACACATTCGAGCTGTGTGACCTTGGACAAGTCACTTAACCCCAATTGCCTCACCAAAAAAAAAAAAGAAATACACAAGCAATCAACCAATCAACAAAGGCTCATTAAGCATTCACTGTGTGCCACGCCCCGTGCTAGGCAGAGAAAATCCACATGATACCCATCTTGCATCTCCCTATATGAATGTGGGTCTTTTTTATTTTAAGGAATCTAGTCTTAGGTGGTTCATAAATGTCGCTTGCAGAAGAAACCCTAGGGATTAGTCTAATTCCTCAATTTGACAAATGAGGAAACTGAGATATGGCAAGAATAGAGTGACTTACCCAAAGTCATCCAGAAAGCAATCAACACAGGTAGAATTCAAACCCAGGTTATCCGACTTTTTCTTTTTCCATCACGTCATGGTACTGTGTCCTAATTCCATCTTTTTTGGGGGGGAAGCAATCAGAGTTAAGTGACTTACCCAGGGTCACACAGCTATTAAGTGTCTGAGGTCAGATTTGAACCCCTCACTCCAGGGCCAGTGCTCTATCCACTGTGCCACCTAGCCACCTAGCTGCCCCCTAATTCTATCTTTAAAGGGTTCTAAACCCCTAGGAATATCGGGATAAATAGAGAACTAAACTCAAGACCTCCCCACGTGCTTGTCTCCATTTGGTTGTTATTTTGTCCTATACCCCCTGCAAAACTAGTCATTGTAGAAACTGAACACTCATTTGACTCTAAAAACGTATCTTCTCATACCAAAGAAGTATTGTCTACCCCAGCCCCTGCTTTTGCTACCCCAGAGTAACTATACTTGGCATTCTAGGCTGTTTGAGGGGTAGAAATCTATCATTTCATCAGTAGCCAAAAACCCCAGTTTCAAACTACTGAGACTTCACCAAAGAGAAACCTCTAGGTTTACAATAACAATAATGATGATGATGATGATGATGATAACAATAATAATAGCTAACATTTATATTGCACCTACTATGTACCAGGCAATGGGCTAAGCACTTTTACAGTTATCTCAACAACCCTGGGAGATAAGTACTATTATCTCCATTTTACAGATGAGGAAACTGAACTTCTAAAAATATTTTTTTAATATTTCCAGGTGTCGCTGCTCTGGATTCCAATGTCTCTGGGAAAATCGGTTTACGAGCTGTTGTATATTATTTCTGCACTACGGCCATTGCTGTTGTTCTTGGTAAACTATTGGTCTTGCATATCTAACTATAGCATGTAGTTTTATTCCTTCATGCAGTTATGATTTTGTAACACCTTGAAAGGAGTTGGGCTTATCTTTATTATCAAGCATAAAACTCGTGACTGTATTTCTATGGGAAATCTTTTGGCCAAAAGAATTGAATTGTTTTCTGGCCTTCAGTTATTGCTCTGCTCAATAGGGCTTCCCTGGGCCGGGACAAAAATCAGGTGATCATTTTATGCTCTGTTAGCCAAATAAAGGAGGAGGAAGAACAGCCAAGAGCTCAGGTAATCTGCTCCTGAATGCACAACTGAGGATAATCATAAAATAACTTCAGGGAAATACATTTTAATACCTAGTGTGTAGATAAAGCAGCAAGAGCTGGCAATTAATAAAGTGTTGCCAAAGAGGCATCCAGCTGGACCTGTTTTAATGAGAGGGATGTTTCAGAAGGAGAGTATAACTCCTCCTGTGATTCAGTATTTCAGAGGTCTGTGATGTCATCTGTGTGGGAAGACTTTCTCCAGCAGTATAGACTCAACCCTCCCCCACACTTCAAGAGGCAGTTCGTTAAGTTGCTGTGGTCTGATCCTAGTGACAAGATTCTCTGAACATAGCTGAGTTTGTCCAAGATCCAAGATCCAAGTTCATCATTTGGCCTGTACTCAAAACCTTTGCACTTTGATAAATACCTTCAAGAACCCAAAGCTACCTCCATGACACAGTGAGGGAGAAGACTCTTATACATAAAGTAATAGATCTGGAGCTAAAAAGGACCTCCCCAGCTAGTCCAAAGCACTCATTTTACAAAAAGGGAAACTAAGGAAGCAGGAACTGATTTGCCAATTTTTCACACAAGTAATAAGTGTTAGAGGTAGAAAAAGTCAGGTCCTCCAATTCTTACCTTTTTGAGTCACAGACCCCTTTGGTAGTCTAATGAAACCTGTGGACTCCTTCTCAGAATAATGTTTTATGAAATGCTAAATTTCAATTAAGAGGTTAGTGACAATGAAAATGGATGGGTTTTTTTTCCCATCCAAGTTCACAGACCCCATGAAATCTATGCACAGACCCTTTGGAGTTTTGTAGTATCACACTACCTCCTTATCGTTCCCTCCTCATCTTTAACCTTTAGAATCTCTAGTTTCCTTCAAACCTCAGCTCAAGCATCACCTTGTACATGAGACCTTTGCTCTTCCCTGCCCTTAACCCAGTCACTCATTTCTCTCCCTGACAATTACCTTATATTCATGTGTTTATTTAGAATATATTTAAATGTGTATATATTTCCCATGATATCATATAAACTTTTTTTCTTTATATCCTTAGTATCAAGAATGCTTCACTTAATTCTTGACTCATTGTCATAGCTTCAAGAGGAACAATATATGATATTAAAATAGAGATTTGAACTTTAGTTTAGTAGATAGTTTAATATACCAAGTCCTAATCATTCATATTTTTGCTATTTTTCGAAACATGAAAATATATGTGGCTATATAATTTATATATTTGTGCTGGTCTTAGGCATTAACCATAAATATTGTCAACAGAGATTAATAAATGTTGAAATTATAAGGATTTCCATTGTGAAGAAACAGAAGAAGAGGATCAACCTGGAGACCCGGCGGAACAAGATGGTAGTTGTGAATAAATCTCTAAGACAGTCCTGTTTTAATGAATAGATAAAAACCACTGATAATTGATGCATAAAATTATGTGCCAATGGTTCTTCCAAAGTGTGTAAATTTCTCTCCAGTTGTCCATCTTTTCTCTTCACAGACATAGTTATGCTTTTACTTTCCTTAGCAAAAATACAGTATCTTTTTTAGATTGTTAAGAGAAATGAGAATCAAAGGATCACGGCAAAGGCAAACTTGAGCCCAGTCTGCATCTGAACACCCCAAAGACAAAATTAGTACAATCTGAATTAATGAGGTTTCACATAGCACTTGATATGCATTTTTTTTTTCTTTCTGCTGCCAACATCAAGCAATTCAAGTCACCTTCTTGAAAGAGCTTCTTGGAAAGGAAAATGATTCATGCTCCCACCTGCTAAATCTAGCTTCATGGGCCAGGAGGAGAAAAGGAATTGTCTCATCAGCAGGTGCTTCTAGAAGCATTTAGGAGATAGAAGCCAAGCCACTTCAACTTTTTTCAAAGATGGAATTAATGCCATCTAGTTACTCCTTTAAACGGGACCAAAAGTTTAGGCAGCTACTGTTTTAACAATCAGGAGTGTAAGTTCTTGACAGTCAATTCAAAAGCCACCTCTTAGCTTGGCTTATAGTTTAAGATCCCCAGTGGTTTTCTCGACTGGAGCCCCAGTATAGGGCACATGGACCAGCACATAGACACCCTTTGAGTTTCAGTTACCCACTGGAGTTCCAAACATCCTAAAATGTTCTGACTCTGATATGGAATTTATCATTGGTCATAGGTATCGTACTGGTAGTGAGCATCAAGCCTGGTATGTCCCAGAAAACTGACGAGTTTGACAGGACAGGCAGCACCCCTGAAGTCAGTACAGTGGATGCCATGTTAGACCTGATCAGGTAAGTGGTTGCCATGCTTCAAGGAAGAGTCGGGGAGAGATCTCCCTGTTGATTTTATTTAGGAGATGAACAAACAAAAGCTGCCTCCTATTGAAGATTTATGATGCACAGAACGAACCCATTCCATTGAGAGCAATAGATTAGAATCATTGATAATTGACACTTTAAATTATTTGCCAAAATGGTGCTTCTAAAGTTTGTAAATTTCTCTCAAGTTGTCCATCTTTTCTCTTCTACAGACATTTCTTTCTCTCCCCAACAGATCTAAGAAGGTCATATCTGTAGCTTCTAAATGTATTCAGGAGAACTTCAATTTATTAAATGCCCACTATGTGTCAGGCATTTGTGTTAAGAACTAGGAATACAAAGAAAAATAATAAACAGTTCCTAACCTCAAAGATCTTGCATTGTCTTTAGGAATGTACACATCCAGAAAATACTGCAACATGTGCACATAATAGACCCAGTGGAATGTAAGCTCCTTTAGGACAGGGCCTGTTTCATTTTTGTCTTTGTATCTTCAGTGCCTGGCACATAATAGGCACTTAATTAATGCTTGTTGAACTCAATTAAATGAAATAGAGAGCTAAAGTCTTCAGATAAGAAACGGGGGAGTTATCAAAAAGTGTGCCATGGGGTGGGGGGCAGGGGACCCTATATAATCCAAAGGTATAAGTTCTAAATTTAAAAAATGCCACTTCAATTATTTAATTAAACTTCATCAGCTTATTAGAGAGACACAAAATTCTTCTTGCCATAACCTTGTTCTGTGTTCCATGTCTCCACCAGGAATATGTTCCCCGAGAATCTCATCCAAGCCTGTTTTCAGCAGGTAATATCACTGACTACTTTGGACTTTGGTTTCCTCCTCTTCCCCTCAATTAAATTTAATTTTGTGTGGTCCAGGAAATAACCCTTTCAAAATTCCAGCCCAAAATGTGGCCACGGATGAGAACCCTTGGAATGTTCTCAAACTGCAGGGGAGCTCCCATGCTCTGGATCTCTATGAGTGGCAGCCCACAATTGCGGGAATGGAGCTCCTTTCTACCCTATGAGTCACATAGTTAAGAAAATGGGATACAGCACTTAACATTATGCCCCTCCTCCTTCTTCTTTCTCTCCCAACAGATCTGAGGAAGAAGTTGGACATCTAGCTAGTAGTCTTAGAGGACTTAATTTAGCACTGAAGAGCTTTAGGCTTTCCTTTTTTGAAGAAAAAATACAATGAAATAAAGAACAACATATATAGTAATATATAGAAAAATATATAACATATATAATAACTTAATACACAATATAAAATACAGATAAACAACAAACAAGTTAGCTCTTCCCTCCCGTCTTCCTTTTCCTCCAGTGTTGGGAAATCTCATACCATAGAGCATATACTTAGTATTCCCAGTGATTCAGTCTTCCTAACAGTGTCTCACTCAGTGCAAGCACTCTGCTCACCCATTTAGCAGAGCTGAGCTTTTCTTTAGGAAATTGCTTGAACAGTCCATTCACCCCATGTATTTCGAGCCTTGTTCTCTTGTTTATTTTTGCATTTATACAGCTGGGCCCAACACGTACTGCTGCATTCATTTGCATAGATTGAGTGAACAGAACAGTCTATGTTCACCAGCAAAATGGCCAATTACATTGCTTCATGCTGACCTCTGGAACACGGAACTGTGCCTCTTCCAAAGGTCTCTTAGCAAACTCAGCACAGTGATCATTTGTGAATTTTCTCATGTTCCTCATTCAGTTACAGTAAAGTTTTATGCCTAATATAATTGCTCCTCGAGTCCTTCTTTCACTTACGTGCAAATGTGCCACAGACTTGATGAAACACAAGGTCTTTTAAATGAAGGGTGACCAAGATATCAAAGGAACTGGAAACCATACCATTAAACTATCAGTTAAAGGAACTGGGAGGTTTAGCTTGGTCTAGAGAAGAAAAGAATTGGGAAGGAGAGAGAAGAGACACTCCAAGTGTGATCAAGTATTTGAAGGATTGTCCCAGGGAAGAAGAGTAAGTTGTTATGCCTGGCCACTGAGGACAAAACTGAAAACCATGAAGGAAAGTTAGAGGTAGATTGTGGGGTTAATATTTAAAAAAAAATCTTTCTAACAATTAAAATTATTCAGAAGTAAGATGGTCTCCCTCAGGGAGTATTGGGTTCCCTAGTTCCAAAAGTCTTCAGATGAAGGTTAGATAACCACTCATCAGAGATATTGTAGAGAGGTTTTTTGTTGAGAATTTGGTCTTAATAACTGCTGAGATCATTTTCAACTCTGCACTTCTTTTATTCTATGAAGTCTGACTTTGAGAACAGACATACTGAATCAACTTAGAAAACTCACATAACTGTCATTTATCTCCATTGACAATATACATGTTAATAGCTTAGATACCATGATAGAAGTATAAATCACATGACCATTTTTTTGTTTTTTAAAAAATAGCTAACAAAAAATGTAAATGGTTAGGATCAGTCTATTACACAAAATATCTACAACTAGAATTTGAACCTCCACTTTAAATTTTGTACCAAATATTTGTTCCTGGTTTTATCTTTGAAAATTTGAAAGACAGAACACTTTTAAATGAAGGTTGTGGGACTCAGCAGTTTGATCTTATTATTTAAATTGTTTACCCTTTGGACTACTCTTCTCTACAATTGTCAAAATACTCTTTGAAGAAGTCTTCAAAACAAATAAAAATCAGAATTGGCTTCACACAGTGTCTCAGCTTTAATCCTTTTGTGCTTTTCAATCTGACTTTGCAAGCTGTGTGACAGTGGGCCTCTCTGAACCTCAGTTTCCTCCTCTGTAAAATGGAGATAGTAGTAAGTACTAATATTACCTATCTCACAGGGTTATTGTGGAGAAAATGCCGTGTAAGCCTCAAAAGACTACAGAAATCTAAGTACTTATTACCATGATCACTTGTTGGCTCAGGTACGATTTTTTGGATGAGTCTATCACTCGTTTGTTCAATGATAGCTGACATTGTTATTCATTCTTATGACCAGAATTTCATTTATTCTCATTTAGCCAAGTTTAAAATCTTTTTTTCCAATTCACAGTACAAAACCCAACGTGAGGAGGTGAAATCTTCAAGTGAATCAGAGACGAACACCACGGGAGAATCCGTAACAGCTGTTATGGTGACTGCCCTTTCAAAAGTACTGTTCTTTTCATAATTAGTTGCTCTCCCTTACCAGTAAAGAACCGTTGAGAAATTAGAGGGAGTAGGAGATAAAAATGTTATTTATTCATTAATGCTCCTGGATTAAAGAGTCTTAGATCCCCGTGCTGATTCCAAGAGTGACCCTGGGCAAGCCACTGACCCTGAGCTTCAGTTTTCTCTACTGTAAAACAGAGATAACACTTATACATCCTGTACAAACTCTACAATGAATTGTTTTTAAAAGTGCTTTATAAAGTGTAAAACACTAAAGAAATGTGCATCATTAATTTGAGCCAGATTGTTCCAGCATCTTGGCTACTATGTGACTCTAAAGTCAGGTACCCAGAAACTGCTTTCCTTCCTTCAGGCATCCAGAGTACCACATGCATACCTTATATAATGTCAGTTGTGTCTAGCACTGGACTTGGAAGAAGTTCTATGGCATCCTCTTCTGTAAAATGAGCAGACTGAACTAGATGGTCTCTGAGGTCCCTTACAAATCTAGAGTTGTAATTAATGCATCTTCTATGCCCCAATCATTTCCTAATAATCCCTCAATTATAACTCCCATATCTTCCCCTCTTATAACTAAAACTAAATCAAAGTTAAGGCAAATAGATACAAAAGCATTTGATACAGTGGCCACACCTGTGTGTATGACATTCCACCACTACAAGTCACCTGTAGATGTGGAGAATGGAGGGATGTTCCAACACCAATCAAATGAGACATTTGTAAAAAGTGCTTCACACAGGGCCTGGCCCATAGTAGGCACTCTATAAATGCTTATTCCCTTCCCTTCCCCCTTCCTCCAATCATCTAAAACCAATATCCCTCATTGCATTTGACCCAAGCTCCATTATCTTTTTGGGTGGTGTTCCATTACAGCATTGAAGTCCTATATATTCTCCTCCTGACTTCTTTTGCTTCATAAAGACATCATTAACTATATATCGTAAATTTTAGAATTTTATTGCTTATGGCTTTTAACAGTTGAACTATGTGCTAGAATTCAAGGCAGCTAGAGGGCCTTACCTAACATGGAGCTCTGAACTTGGGAGTCAGGGAGATTCAAGTTCAAATCCTGCCTCAGACACTTATTGTGTGACCCTGAGTCACTTACCCTTTCTGTCTCAGCTTCCTCAGCTGTAAAATGAAAATAATAATAGCACCTGCCTACTGAGATTGTTGTGAGGACCAAATGAGATAATGTATGTTATAACTGCTTTGCAAACCTTGAAGTCCTATGTAAATGCTATTGTTATCATCTTCATCATCAACCATGCTGAGTGGATGAGTGAGCCAATTCACACTTTGACTTTTCTTAAGAAAGGCAATATCATTTCATGTCAGAGATTATGCAAACCAGCTGTATCTTTATCATTCACTAATATTTTCTTGGCTTTGTTCCACAGAACAAAACAAAAGAATATAAAGTAGTGGGCACATACTCAGATGGCATAAATATCCTGGGCTTGATTGTCTTTTGCCTTGTGTTTGGAATCATTATTGGGAAAATGGGAGAAAAGGGCCAAGTTCTGCTGGACTTCTTCAACGCACTCAATGATGCTACCATGCAAATCGTTCAGATCATCATGTGGTGAGAGGGCTCATTTTTTTCTAGTTTTTGTTCCCCACCCCCACCCCCAAAAAAAGCTTTGAAGGAAGAGGTTTATTTTTCTCTCCAATAGAAAAGTCATCTATGTCTGAACAATCTACATGCCTGTACACTCCAAGGAGCTGTGATTCTAGTAGTATAGAATCATTTTAACCTTTTCCATGTCTCCTTTAATCCATGTTTCCATCATTTGAATTTAATTTAAAAAAAAATTCCTACCCTGATGGTCATCCTTCTGGTGATGAGATTCTATCGGGCCAGTTCTCAGACATGTCATCCATTTCTGGACCTACACTTGAATCCTTCCTGCTTTCTGATCCACTGATATTATTTTTAAGAACCTGGATTTGAGTCATCTGTACACTATGATGAAGCATTGAGGGAGGGCTTATTCACAGGGAAGGACATGGGCAACCCAACCTTTTACCCTGGACAATCCAACTGTAAACATTTTGTGACAAGGCCCCAGAAGTAGGGGTTACACTCCTACTCTATTTTAAGGTTCTGCCATGAAAACCTAGCATTTTATTTGCAGCATGGCTTCCATAAACAAAGCATGAAATTGTGATCAGGATTTGTGTATGAGACAAATTTATACGAATACAGTTTAAAAGGATTACAGGGGCATGCATGGAGTGACCCTGGCCAGTCAAGAAAGAAAGCTGTTCCAAGTTGTGGTCAACTTGGCTTACTCCAAGATGACCACCTCTTCTATGTGTCTGCCATGTATGCACCCCACAGTTAAATCACAGAATCATGGGATTTCAGAGTTGGAGTAAACCTCAGCATCCATCTAGCTCAACTTACACCTGAAAAGAAATTTCTTCTATCACATATCCCACCAGGGGTCATCCAGCCTTTAATTGAAGGCCTCTAATTAAGGGGCACCTTCTACCCTCAGAGACAGCCCATTCCATTTCTGGAATGATTGGGAGAGTTGCACAAGCCAACATCTGCACAACGACATGGAAGTGACAGGGCCAACCATCTAGTTTTTTCATACAGAAGAATCACTGAATTATCTATCAGGAAAAAAATGATAGAGGACAGCTCTTTCTTGATTGGCCAAAAAATGGGGGTGCAAGAGAGGAGTGAGCCTGATTTGGCAGAGTTAGGAAAGTGCCTTGCCCTGTCTTCTGCTGATGGTGAGGGGGGAGGGGATGAATGACTCAAAAACCTTTCATTTCAAACAGTTCACACACAATGGTTCTTAAAGGTTTACTATCTTTGACTTAACCTTCCTTAGCTCCACATCCCACATGTCCCACACTTTCAAGTATTTTTGCTAGTAGGTAGGTTAGGAGAACTACTGTTCTTCCTAGGGTCCTGGGCCCCCAAAGAACTGTGAGAGACCCCCTTGAGGTCTCACTTTTCATTTGCAGAATCTTATCCTATCAGATGACTGAGACTACTTTTGGTCTTCAGACTGACAGCATGTAAATGTTACATGCAACATAAATATTACTTGCAAGAAATATCCAAGTCTTTCTTCAGTTGTCACCTGTTTTTCTTTATTTTTTTGAAGAAAGGATTCAGCCTCTGCTGAGAAAAACTGTGTCCTTATTTGGAAAGAGACAAGCCCTTACTAAGAGTGAGCATCAGCTGTCTTGTATTAGTTTTTAGCCAAGTAATGCAACAACAGCTTTCCTGTCTTAACTAAACGGCTGCCTCAACCCTCCACTTCCTTTTCTTTGCCCAGGTGACTCTCACCATTATCACTTTCTCTATTCTGTCCAAAGACCCACCGCCTCACCATAGAGAATTTAGTTCCAGTCCTCAGTTTCCTCATCTGTCAAATAAGGCAGACTAGACAAGATGATCTCTAAATTTCCTTCTGAGCCCTACTTCTGGGAGCATCTTGCCTGGGTCACACATTCTGTTACTGTCCACACTATATTATGGAATTGATGTACGTAGTTATACAAGAAGAAAAATGTCAATGAAATTATGTCTAAGATAGGACTGCCTGAAGCAAATGAGCACCTATGTATGGCCCTCCTAAGTACATCCTTTCTCTGCTAATGAAAATGATCTTGAGAGTATTAGACTCTGATCCCTCCCCCTCCCCCAGCCCCAGGTGAAAGTAATCTCTCTCTCTGTCTCTCTCTTTCTGTCTCTCTCTCTCTCTCTCTCTCTGTCTCTGTCTCTGTGTCTCTGCTCTGAGTTATCTCGCTCTGTCTCTGTCTCTCTCTGTGTCTCTGCTCTGTCTCTGTCTCTGTCTCTCTCTGTCTCTCTCTCTCTCTTTCTCTTTCTCCCTCCCACCCCAAGGTAGGTCAGCTAACAAGCCTACTAAGTCCTTAAGTTTTTACTACATGCCAGGCACAATATTAAACACTACAGATATAAATGAAGTAATATCATTCCACTGTTCACTTACTTTTCCTACTTGCCCACACACACGTCATTAGACTATCAGCTCTCCAAAGGCAGAGCCTCTGTCATTTTTCATCTCTGTGTTCCCAGAATCTTACACAACCTTGAACAAAGGAGGTGCTTAATAAAGGCATACCCAGTGTTTTTGGACCATTAACCTGAATTAAAGGCACCTAGGTATCATAGTGGACATAGTGTTACTCCTAGAGCCAGGGAGACCTGAGTTCAAATTCAGAATTAGACACTTACGACCCTGGACAAATTAACCTTTGTCTGCCTCAGTTTCCTCATCTGTAAAATGAGGGTAATAGCACCTTTTTCCTAGGTGCTATAAGAACCAACTGAGATAATATTTTTTAAAGTACCTGGCATAAAGTAGCCACTTTAAAAATGCTTATTTTCTTCCTGCCTTCCTTGCCCAGTTTGAAGAGCATTCATTCATGAAGTGACTGCTTAGGTACAGTCTGTGAATGTGAAAGAGAACCAGCCATCTCATCCTAACCTCGTTAGGGGAAGGAGTAAAATACAATGTCAGAGAGACCTGGGTTCAAATCCTGCATCTGTTCCTTCATTTGTGTAACCTTAAGCAAGTTACTTCAGTCCTCCTCCTCAGCCTGTGTTTCCTCCTTTGTAAAGTGAAGGGTTTGGTCCAGGTGTTCTCTAAGGGCCCTTCCAGATACAAATGAATGAGCTGGTGATGGTGAGCACCCTACTCTCTGGAGCAGTCTTCTCTCTATCAATAGCCTACCTAATCCTCCTGTCTACTGTGCTGCTGCAAAATGTGATTGTTTCTTTTCCTCTCTCTGTGGTGCTCACATTCTAGGTATATGCCACTGGGCATTTTATTTATGATTGCTGGGAAGATCATCGAAGTTGAAGATTGGGAAATATTTCGCAAACTGGGGCTATACATGGCCACGGTGCTCAGTGGGTATGTCAGTCTTTGGACGGGTGGGGTTGGGAAAGATTGCTTCTGGGTTGCTACTGACAAATGGAATCATAGGAGGAGTCCTTCATCTGGCTTGCCACTGCTGTTTACTGCCTGTGTGACCTTCGGTGAGTCCAAATGGTATATAGCGAGAGAGAGCATGCTGGACTTAGAATCAGTGGGCCTGCGTTCAGGAATGACCTTGGGTGACCTTGTGGAAGTCACTTCACATTTAAGGGAAATGTCCTCAGCTTCCTTATCTGCCAAATGAGGGTCTTGGACTAGATGATCTCATAGGGCCTGTCCGGTTCCAGATCCTATGAACTCCTATGAATTTTTTTTTAACCAGCCTTTCTGACTATTTATAAAGAAAGAGTTCTGAAATAAGCAAATTCTGGATCTGCTCTTTAATTGTTAAATTGGAAACGGATTATGCTGTGCTAATTGCTGGCTTTTGGGAAAATGAGCTGTACCAGACTTTATTGCTCGAGGCCTACCAGTTGCTCAGAAATCATTCTCCAAGAACATCCTGTAGGGTTTTAGGGACATTATAAGGAAATGCTTGTCTCACTCCTGGTATCTCTTGGCTATTCAAATGCCTGCCAGGGCTTAGTTGTGTTTCTAAAGCCTGTGATACCCTCTGAGCTATTTTACCTGCCTTGCCAATAAAACTAGCTCATATTCTGTAGTCTTTGAAGTTGCCAAAAGCATTGTCTCCACAATAACCCACTGAGGTTTACATCTCTACTTTAAAGATGAGATAACTGAAGCTAAGAGTGGTTAAATGATGTACCCAAGGTCACACATTGAAAGAACCAGCATGGTATAAGCCCGAAGGGGTGGGGAACCTATGGCCTTCAGGCCACATGTGGCCTTCTAGGTCCCTGGGTGCGGCCTTTTCTCTGAGTCCAAGCTTTACAGAACAGATCCTTTTATTAAGGGGATTTGCTCTGTGAAGTTTGGATTCAGTCAAAGAGCCCCACTTGAGGACCTAAAAGGCCACATATAGCCTCCAGGCCACAGGTTCCCCACCCCTAGACAGGAGATAAACAACTGACCTCAGATCTAGGAAGACCTGAGTTTAAGTCCCTCCACTGACACATGCTGACCTGTGACCTTGGGACCAGTTGCTTAAACATTTGAGTGCTCTAGGCAATTTCTAAGACTCTAAATTACAAAGAAGGTGCTGACCTACATTGGTAGAGAGAGGTTCCTAACCTCAGATCTGTCAGTGAAATTACAGGTCCAGTCCCAATTCCTAACCCTACACAACAAGGACCTGTCCAAGCCCATCTCCTGATTCTTAAGCCAGAGCCTCCTCTCATTAGAGCACATGATGTAAGCCCTCCATACCATGAACCAAAAAGTTCATTTTTACCCTTTATGTCTTCACTCCAAATAAATAAGACTATGAGTGAAAGGCTAAATTGTACAATCTACCTTTTTATCATTTCTTGAGGTTGCTTGTAATCTCTGCTATGAGTTCCTTCTGTGCAATGAGAAATGGTAACATTTTCAGGTTAGTACAAATGCCACTATTCTAGCTATAAGGCTTTGGATGAGTCACTTCTCTCTCCCTACAGATTCCCCATCTATAAAAGAGGATCTTAGAGCGAATTGCCTTTAAGGTCCCTTCCAGCTCTACTATTCTATTACATAGGGAAGCTAGGTGCAAGCTAGGTTTTAATTTGGCTCTAATGATTGCTGCTCTATTAGCCTCGCTGTATTGTGCTGAGGGATGTTTCCCCAACCTTCCACAAGTGATTCCAACTCCTCAGCTTCCTCACCTGTGAAGTAGGAATAATACTTGTAACTACCTGCCTCACAGAGCTATTTTGAGAAATTCTTAGCCTGGAGTCCATGAACTTTTTCTTCTTTTAATACATCTTGAAAACTGTTGCAATATATTTTGTCTCCTTTGTAATCCTATATGTATGTATGTATATATATATGTATATGTATATATATGTATATGTATATATGTATATATATATGTATATATATTGCATTCAAAAACACTCTTCTGAGAAGGGGTGCATATGTAGGGCTCCCTAGACAGCAAAATGAGTCCATGAGTCCATATCACAAAAAAGGCTAAGAACTTAAAAGTGATATTGAAAAACATAAAGTAATATAGAAAAAACAATGTTGCTGTTCAGTCATTTCAGACACCTCCAATTCTTCAGACCCCATTTGAGGTTTTCTTGGCAAAGATACTGGAATGGCTTGCCATTTTCTTCTCTAGCTCATTTTGCAGATGAGGAAACTGAGGCAAACAGGGTTAAGTGACTTGCCCTGGGTCACACAGTTAGTAAGTATCTGAGGTCAGGTTTGATCTCAAGATGAGTTCTCCTGACTCTGGGCCCAGTGCTCTAACCCCCGTGCTACCTCGCTGCCTGGAAGAAAAAAGAATAGCTAGTATTTATATATAACACTTTGTTTTGCAAAGCATTTAACATACATGATCTCATTTGATGTTCACCACAACCCTGTGAGTTGGCACTATTGTTATCTTCATTTTGCACATGAGGAAATTCAGGCTAAGAAAGACTGTAACTTATCAGAGTCACATAGCTAATAAGTGTCTGAGGCAGGATTCAATCTCAGGTCTTCCTGACTACAAGTTCACCACCATTCACTATCCTACCATATTTCACAGAAGCTGTTTTTAAAAAATTTTATCTGGACCTGTGATTCATCAGCATAGGGATTGATTAGTGTGCCACAAACGTCCATCTACCAATACAGATCAGCAACCCATTCTACAACTCACAGAGCTGCCTGAGATACAATGACTTGCTCATGGTCGGTCACACAGCTAATATGTGGCAGAGATGGGATTTGAACCCAGATCTTCTTTACTCTAAGGGTAACCCTCTGTCCCCTATCATCCTATCTGGAAGCTCTTTATTCTATTTATCACCATAGTTATTACTATTATTATTTTTATATTGTTATTATTTGTTATTAAATTTTTATTATTTTTTTAAATCCTCAAGTTCTCAGGCTTGAGCTAAGAACTCTGCCTTCAGATCTAATGACTATATCCAGAACTCTCCAGCTGATTTCATCCTTCCACAAGCAAGGATTTACTTAAAAAGGCTATAGGCTTTAAATGATCACTTTGTTCTGTGTATGTCATCTACTGATTTCTTTTCCCCATCTCTTCTGTGTCACTAGATTGTGTAACTCCAGCATTCTAGCTGAAATGAGGACACTTTCTTTGGAAAGGGCTAGAGAATGGGACAGAAAGAAAAGAGAAGAGTCTCAAAATGTGACATTTTGAAAAACAGGGAATGCCTGAGAGCCTGAAGTCCTCCTCGGGCCATTATAACTGTGTCTGTCTGGATGACAATACGCAATAGCAGAAAAAGTAGTCAGAAAGTCCTGGGCTCTTAGTCTTGGTTCTTGCCACTAACCAGCCATGTGACCTTGTGGAAGTCACTTAACCTCCACACATAAATTTTCTCATCCATGAAACAGGGATTGGGGGAGGTGGGGAACTACCCTACTTGTAAGGTTGTTGCGATGATTAAGTGAGATAAGGCATGTGAAAATGTTTACCTAAACTATAGAGTCTCTATATAGATATAAGGAGATATTTGTGCTTTGTACTGATAAATAGCCTTAGGGTCAAGATGATCTGGGTTCGAATTCTGTCTCTGAGGGATACTAGGTGTACGACCTTGGGAAAATCAATTAACTTCTAAGTGTCCCAGGCAAATCTTTAAGACTATAAGCTATAAGTTGCTGATCTGCACTAGTGGAAGGGGTATAAAAATATACCATTTATCAGTAAAATCATGTTTCTGGTTATATATACGCAAACAGATATACATATTCTTACACACACGTACATACACATATTCTAAACACTTTAATGCTTAGCTGGATCTATTATCCCAGTAAAAGTGTGTACTCCTCCCACCAGCATTATTATCTATAAAACTGTCTCTCAGGGCAGCTAGGTGGCACAATGGATAGAGCTCTGGCCTTGGAGTCAGGAGGACCTGAGTTCAAATCCAGCCTCAGACACTTAATACTTACTAGCTGTGCGACCCTGAGCAAGTCACTTAACCCTGATCGCCTCACCAAAAAGCAAAAAAAAAAAAAAAAAAAATGAAAAAACCTGTCTCTCTTTGTTTGCAGGCTTGCCATACATTCCATTGTAATCCTCCCACTCATCTACTTGCTAGTTGTACGAAAGAACCCTTTCCGGTTTGCCATGGGGATGGCACAGGCAATGCTCACAGCCCTCATGATCTCTTCCAGGTAAATGAAGATATTTCACTTCCCTGGTAACAGATGTGGCCAAAGGGAGTCTCTGAATTTTGTCTTTGTCTATCTGTCCCTTCCTCTATTTTGTAATGGCAGATGCAAAAATGCTATGGTTTTAGAGATAACCTTTAGAGCTGAGAAATGATAGTATTGGTGTCTCTTGGTAGTGGTCTTGGTGTCTCTACCTGAGAATATATTTCCTCTCCTACCAAATGTTTTCCCCTTTCCTAGTATGAAACAATTTTTAAGAGTTTTATTGTATTTGTAGGAGGTATAATTAGCACTCTGAATTTTGTTTTCTAGAATTACTGAAGGGTAGGTTTAATACTTTAAACTCTTTAAGGTTAGCCTTCTAGAAGCAAAAAGCCTCCATATTCAAGAAGTACCAGGCTGGCATTCCATAACTATGAACTGGTTTCCCTTTTTGTTGTTCAGCTCAGCAACACTACCTATTACCTTTCGCTGTGCAGAAGAAAAGAACCACGTGGACAAGAGAATCACCAGATTCGTTCTACCCGTTGGTGCAACAATCAACATGGATGGAACTGCCCTCTATGAAGCAGTCGCGGCTGTGTTCATTGCACAACTCAATGACTTGGATCTAGACATCGGAAAGATAATCACTATTAGGTGGGGTGAGGGTGTCACGTGAATGTTCATCCTTATTACTGGTGAAAGCACCTGTTAAGATAGCTCAAGGTATTGAGTAGTCATTCTCCAGTTAAAGATTGTGTTCCTTTGGCTTCTACTCTGTCTGCATAGCTTCATCCCCAAGAATAACCAAAGCTACACATGATGTAACCCTTAAATTCAAGACCTCAGCCATTGCAGTTTGATCCAAAGGCGTCCTCTGTACTGGGTTCATTGCAATCTAGGGCATGTCCCATGTTCTACATGAGAACAAACAATCCTCCAAGCCTGCTCTGTAGTAGAATTGAACTTCTGGGTCGAAAACCTAGTCAAACATCTCCTTCCCCTTTCCAGCCATCTTGGTTTGTTGTTTTCAGTACTTTTTCAGTTGTGTCTGATTCTTCATGACCCCATTTGGGTTTTCTTAGCAAAAATATTGAAATGCTGTGCCATTTCCTTCTCCAGCTCATTTTACAGATGAGGAAACTGAGGCAAACAGGGTTAAGTGACTTGTCCAGGACCACACAACTAAAAAATGTTTGAGGCCAGGTTTGAACTCAGGAAGATGAGTCTTCCTGACTCCAGGCCCAGCACTTTTTGAACTGGATTCCAAGAGGACTTTGCAGATGAGAAAACTGAGGCCTTGCATGTGATCATATGACTTATGCGGCAGGACTTAAACCTAAGTGCTGACTCCAAATCTAGTCTTCCATGAGGTGGCTAAGTAAAGTGCCCATTTCTGAGCATCTGTCACTTTCACTCTAGGTATTCCTTCGTCACCTTGGTTCTACATTTTCCAGGTGCCTCTAATTTTTTACTCTGACTACTAGAGTAGGCCTTGTGCCTAGATTCAAAGTAGCCAAAGTACACACACATTTATTCATCATACTCAGATCATACACTTAAGCCACCATCAGCCTCTGGCCCCTAGACCAATAATAATATGTGAGACCCACAGTAATTATTTTTTTTAATCATTGCTGGTTCCACCTGGAAGTTCCTCGACCTCTTTACAGAACCTTATTTTGTGTACCTTGCATGTAGTAGGTGCTTAATGTTTCCTGAATTGAATTTGTTCCCCTCCCCTTCTAGATACTCTGTCATAGCTAGGTGGTTGTGGTAGAGTGCTAAATTTGGAGTCAAGAAGGCTTGAATTCAACTGTGTCACTTTAGGGGAGTCATTTAACTTCTCTGGGCCTTAGTTTTCTCTTCTATAAAGTAAGGGGATTTGACCAGATGACCTCCAAGGTCAGGATGCATAGTAGATTGTGCATTGGGCCTAGAGTCAGGAAGATCTGAGTTCAAATCTGGCCTGAGCCATCTATTTGCTGTGTGACCTTAGGCAAGTTACTTAACCTATGTATGCCTCAGTTTCTTCAACTGGAATATGGACCATAATATCACCCACTTCCCAGAGTTATTATGAGGGTCTAGTGAGAAAATATTTATAAAGTCCTTATCACAGTGCCTAGCCACACAGTAGATACTTAATGAATGCTAATTTCCTTCCATCCTTCTCTCTTTCTTTCCTTCCTTTCTTTTCTTCTTTCCTTCTATCCTTTCTTCCTCCCTCTCTTCTAGCTCTAACTCTATGATCCTATGATTACTATAAGACCGTTGGACAGTTAAGGCCCTCGTGGAGGCTCATAAACAAAATCATGCTTGACATCACAGGACTTGGACCTTCTGAAAATTACTCTCTGTGTGCCATAGTATTATGAAGTAGCTATAAATTCTGCCCAAGTACAATGTTATCTAGGATTGAATCTAAACTAGTGATAAGTTCCGTGATCTTTGTATCTCTTCCAATGCACAGCGCTCTTCAGATGTCTAAAGCTCCTTTCTCATAAATGTTTATTAACTAGAATTAAATTCCAGATTCCTGAGTGCCCCCACTTTTAAAAATGGTACCTGAGGATGTGAAAAAGGCCCTCTGAAATGTTTTTTTCTTCTACTTAAAAAAAACCCTCTGAGTCAAAGTGCGATTTATGCACTTGAAGCCTCAGAAATCACTTAAAGATGTTGAGTTTCAAGCCAAAGGAAGTGGAAATCTGGACTTTGTAGGAGCAGGATTGAGGTCAAAGTCAGAATCCTCCTTGGCTATATGTACTCTCTCAGTTCCATACCCAACCTCAATCTGCAGAGAACTGTTAGTTCTTGATACACCATGGCTTCCTGCTCAGTGAGCCAAAGCAGTCTAAAATGCTGTTGTGGCCACAAAACCACTCGCTTTGGCAAAGCAGTACTTACTGTTATGGGCTCAGTCTAAGTCACCCACCTACCAGGAAGGGGGGAAACTGTTGAAATTGAGGTAAACCAAAGCCCAGAGTTCGGCTGTGCTTCAGAGAGGTGGTCAAGTTGAGCAGTGCTGGCAGGACTCTTGAAATTTTGCAACTCACAGCGTAGGTTTGTGTGTGGAAAGTGCCTCAGTGATACAATAACAACAATATTGCTACAAAGCTTTTTAAGGTTCATACTTTCCATGCAAGAGCCATATCGAGGCAGGTAGTTTAAGAATTATTTGTCTCACCCATTTTAGTGATTAAATGGAACGCAAGAGCTTGAATGATTGGTCCATGGTTACATATCTTAGCATAAGAGTCAAGGTTCAAACCCGGGGCTCCTGGCTGTGTTCTCGTTCCATCACACCATAGTACTAAAAGTTCAGAAGTGGAGAGGATTTCACCTGAGAGGAGCTTGGTGGAAATGAAGTGTCAAATGCCATCAAAAAAAACAAAAAAAAACATCAACTTTATAGACGTGAAATGGGTGAGGTATGGCTTTCCTCTGAAAGGGGGCTTACAGGTAGAGAGAGTGAACTAGGAGGCTGCAGAGTAACTCAGTATGAGTCAATAGTGCAAGGTAGCAGCCAAAAATTTTTATCAAGACCTAAGGCTGCCCTGAGAGGAGAGTATCCAGAGGGAAGAGATTATTGCTCTATTTTTGCCCTTATCAGACCACATTTGAATGCCATATTCAGTCCTGGGAGCCACATTTTAGGAAGTGTGTGGATAAGGCAAACATGCTGTAAGAGAATCCACTGGGGGAGGGGGTATGGTCATATTGAGCCTATAGAAGACAGTACTTAGGGGGAAACTGCTAGATGTCTTCAAGCCAGATGGAAGAGGAATCTGACTTGTCGGACCTCATCCCAAAGAGCAGAACTTAAAGCAATGAGTGGAAATTGTACAGGGGCCTATTTTGGCTAGACCAAAGGAAAACACTCCTTAGACAATTAGGCAAAAGTGGGATGGGCTGCCTTGGAAGGCAATGGGTTCTCGTAAAGTCTGGATGTGACTGCTGATTGGATATGTTAATAAGAGATTCTCCATCAAGTAAGGGCTCATTTACAATCTCCAGGCCAACCTTTTAACTCTGAAATTCTGCATGGCTACAGCACCAGACTTGGAGTCAGTAAGACCTGAGTTCAAACCTGGATTCAGACAATTACTAGCGGTGTCATCCTCAGCAAGTAATTTAGCCTATCTGCCTCGGTTTCCTTCTCTATAAAATGGAGAGAAGAATAGTATCTATCCCCCAGGGATGCAATGAGGATTAAATGAGATAATAATCATAAAACTCTTTGCAAACTTTTAAGTGCTTTATAAACAGTATTATTATTTTTGTTGTTATAGTTATGTCTACTTTTCAACACTTTGCATTCTTTTTTCTAATTTGCTAAAAAGTTCACTCTCCAGGATTACTAATGACTTTCTCTTAACCAAATCCAATTGACTTTTTTCCATCCTCATTGTCTTGCAGCGTTTCACACGAGATTGTTTCCCTCTCTCTGGACACTTTCTCATCCATGACTTCTGTGACATTGTGCTTTGGGGGGTTCCCCTCTTATTTCTCTTTCTCTATCTCTGTTTGTTCCAAATTCTTTTCCTTTCCTCCTGATGTGATTGTCTCCCAATAATTTGTCTTTGGCCCTCTTTGATTCACTCTATACTATATCTTGTCGTCACTTTCGTTACTTACTACTAAGTAAACACTTCTGTACTCCAGGTAGAATTAACAGCTATTTAGCAATGCAGGGACCCAAAGGTCACCTTATAGGCAAATCAAGATACTGATGATTTAAAGTATAAAGCCTGGTGTACGCTTTCTTGTGATGTTGCCAAACCATTCTTCCTGTCTACTAGCTGTATGACAAGATAAACAATTCACATCTCAGTTTGTTCATCTATAAAATAGGGACAATACTTGCAATTCACTAACTAATGGAGTTGTTAGGAAAGTATCTTGTGAACTTTACCAAATGAACCAATGAATGAAAGGAAATGTATTTATTAAATATTTCTTATGTGCTAAGCACTGTGCTAAGCTCTGGGGATACAAATTCTTTTTTGGGGGGGAGGGTACAGTACTAATTACCGTATTCCTTTAAGGTCAAGCCATGAAGCTTTCAGGGCAGCTACAGGTGGCAGCTAGAGTGCTGGGCCTAAAGTCAAGAACACTCATCTTCTTGAGTTCAAATCTGGCCTCAGATACCTACTAGCTGTGTGACCCTGGGCAAGTCATTTAACCCTGTTTCCCTCAGTTTCCTCATCTATAAAATGAGCTGGAGAAGGAAATGGCAAATCACTTCAGTACCTTTGCCAAGAAAACCCCAAATGGGGTCACGAGGAGTTGGACACAACCAAACAACAATATGAACCTTTCTCTGACCATATCAGCAAGATATTATTTCCCTATCCTCTAGAACTCTTCTCCATTTGATGCCTATATTCTGCCTTGCACTGTAGGTATTCTTGCTACTTGCCTTATTTCCTGTACTAGATCATAAGCTCCTGAGGGCAGAGGCAGGGACTAATCCCTCTTCCTATGCCCCTACAGAGTCACACACATAGTTAATAGTCACAAACTTTACTCAGTTTGATTTGGGAAAGAAGTTGCAACAACAGTCAGGTGTAAGACAGAGGGCCTTAAAAGAAAGATAACATTTCTTTTTTTTTTAATTAATTTATTTGGAATTATCAACAATCACTTCCATAAGCTTTGGAGTTTTAAATTTGTCTCTCCCTCCCTCCCCACCTCCCTCCCCAAGATGGCACACTATCTGATATAGACTATACATATACATTCCTATTAAACGTATTTTCACATTAGTGATGTTGTAAGGAAGAATTAGAACCAATAGGAGGAACCACCAGAAAGAGGAAACAAAACAGAAGGAAAAAAGTAGCAAATAGTATGCTTCAATCTGCATTCAAACTCCATAGTTCTTTCTCTGGATGTGGATAGCATTTTCCATCATGAGGCCTTGGAGATGTCTTAGATCCTTGTATTGCTGAGAAGGGTTAAGTTTATCAATGTTAGTCATCGCACAACGTGGCTGTTATTGCATGCAAAGTTCTCCAAGTTCTGCTCATTTTACTCAGCATCAGACTCATACAAGGAAGATTACATTTCTAACTCCTTTTCTTATGTTTCTGTTTTGGCCACAGTGTCACAGCAACAGCTGCCAGCATTGGAGCTGCAGGAGTGCCCCAGGCAGGGCTAGTCACCATGGTCATTGTGCTGAGTGCTGTTGGCCTGCCAGCTGAAGACGTCACCCTCATCCTTGCTGTCGACTGGCTTTTGTGAGTTGCACTTTTCTGACGTGAAACCAATTATAACAATTTCATTGTGCTTAACAAGGTGGGAGGACAAGTTTTTCCAAACATGCCTATGTCCATTCTCTTTCAAGATGGCCCAAGGAGCCATGTGCTGCTCTCTTAATTTCTTTCTGACCAGGCCACCTGATAAGGTACTTAAAAATTAACTCATCACAATAAAGATGAGTGCTCATTTTAGAATGCCGGTAAATAGTATCACATTATCTCATCTGATATGGTTATGCCCAAGGTTAGCTTTTGGGCAGGGGACAAAAAGACAGATAGTAGTGAGATTAGTGACTATTCATGGTCTCACATCTATCCCCAACGTGCCTCGCCTACCTAGTCCCAGACCTTAACAAACCTATTGATCATAACATTGTAAGCTTGAGGGGTCATAGGATGTACTGCATTAAAGGGGCCTTAGAGATCATCTAGTCCAACTCCTTTAGTTTATTGATGAGGAAACTGAGGCACAGAAAGGACCAATGACTTACCTCGAGGTCACATAGGTAGCATGTGGCAGAGTGGGGATCCAAACCCAGGTCTTCTGTTACAAATGCAGTGTTCTGTCTGCTTTATGATATTGGACCCTAGTTCAATTCCTTCATTTTATAGAAGTGGAAACTGAGTCCTTAAAAAGGCAAAGGCCTTGCACATTATCATATATTGTGAAGTAAAGGCAGGACTCAAACCCAGGGCTTCTGCCTCTAAATCTAACACTCTTTCCATGACCTAGAGATGGCCTCTTCTACAAACACATCTCCCCAGAATCTGAAGGGACCCTGAATAATTCAGTAGGAGGCTGGACTCTCTTATGGGAATGTTACAATACAAAGCTCCATACCAGTTCTGTTTCTACCTCCTTGGGGACTTCAGGAATTGAGCTAAAACTAGCCAGGCTGCCACAGAGAAGGGATGTGTTTTGAAGTATTCTATAAGTAATATGAGCAGCTAGGTGGTGCAGTGGCTAGAATGCCAGGCCTTGAGTCAGGAAGAGTCATGTTCCTGAGTTCAAATCTGGCCTCAGACACTTACTATCTGTGTGACCCTGGGCAAGTCACTTAACCCTGTTTGCCTCAGTTTCCTCATCTGTAAAATGAGCTGGAGAAGGAAATGGCAAATCACTCCAGTATCTTTACTAAGAAAACCCCAAATGGTGCCATGGAGAGTTGGACATGACTGAAACTCACCTGAACAACAACATAAGGAATACAGCATCAGAAATCTAGAACTGGAAGAGACTTCTCAAGCCATTACTTTTTATGTGTTGTCTTCTCTCATCAGAATATAATCTCTCTAAAGGGTAAGGACTGTTTTTCTTTCTGCTTGTATTTGTATTCCCAGTGCTTAGCACCGTGCCTGGCACATAGCAAAGGGTTTAATAAATGTTTTTTTGACTTGACTTGACATTAATTGCAGATTGATCATTTTACAGACAAGAACACTTGAGTTTCAGTGACTTGCCCAAAGCAACATGAGTAGTAAAGGTCAGAGGTCGGATTTGAACTCAGATCTTCCTATTCCAGAACCCAGTCAATCTCCCTCTTGCTTGTCCCACTCATTACCCATGGTATTCATTTCTGAAACAGTTAAAAACAGAAAGCTGCCTATTGACCCAAAGTACGGTCAGTCAATCATTGACAATACGCTCTATGTCCAATGTTGGCACAGTCTAGATTGGGCATAAATGCATTATTTGTGAGCATAAGCTAATTCGATCTACCTGCAGTTTTCACAAGAATGGGGCTTTGTCCAATTCTTGGCAGCCAAGGTCATTCACTTTCCTCTGAAGCTTCAAGATTTGTCACTCTCTGAGGATTCAAATTCGTTGAATGATCTGGGTGTGTTTAACTTGGAAAAGAGAAAACTTAGACAAGGCACGATAACTGTCTTCAAGTATTTATTTTTTTATTCTTTTTTTTTTAAAAAAACTTATTTAGTGTTTTATTTTTTCCCTGTTACATGTAAAAATTATTTTTAACATTCGTTTTTAAAACTTTGAGTTCCTAATTCTCTCCCTTCCTCCCTCCCCATTGAGAAGGCAAACGATTTGATATAGGTTATACATGTGTAATCATGCAAAACATTTCCATAATAGTGGGGAAAAAAACATAGACCACAAAAAAACCTTCAAGAAAAATAAAGTAAAAGAAGTATGCTTTGATCTGTATTCAGACACCATCAGTTCTTTCTCTGGAGATGGATAGCATTTTTCATCATAAGTCCTTCAGAGTTGTCTTGGATCATTGTATTGCTGAGAATTGCTAAGTCATTCATAGCTGATCATCTTGCAATATCGCTGTTACTTTGTACACAGTACATTTCACTTTGCATCAGCTCATGTAAGTCTTTCCAGGTTTTTCTGAAAGAATCTGCTCATCATTTCTTATAGCATAATAATATTCCATCATAATCACATAACACAATTTGTTCAGCCATTCCCCAGTTGATGGGTATCCCTTCAATTTCCAATTTTTTACCACCAGAAAAGAGCTGCTATAAATATTTTTGTACATATAGGTCCTTTTACTTTTTATTTTTTATCTCTTTAGGGATACAGACCTAGTAGTGGCACTGCTAGATAAAAAGGTATGCATGGTTTTATAGCCCTTTGGTCATAATTCCAAATTGCTCTATAGAATGGTTGGATCATTTCACAACTCCACCAAAAGTGCATTAAAGTCTCATTTTTCCCATATCCCCTCTAACATTTCCCATTTTCCTTCTCTGTCCTATTAGTCAATGAAGGTGTGAGGTAGTACCTCAGAATTGTTTTAATTTGCATTTCTCCAATTAATAGAGCATTTTTCTGTCTCTAAATTGCTTTGGTTACTTTATCTGAAAACTTTCATATCTTTTTATCATTTATCAATTGGGGAATGGCTCTTATTTTTATAAATTTGACTCAGTTCTCTATATGTTTGAGAAATGAGGCCTTTATCAGAAAAACTTGCTTCAAGATTTTTTTCACAATTCATATTGCCAACTGTATTTCCCTCCATCCTATTTCCCCTCCTGCTTATTCTATTCTCTGTCTCTTCTTTCACCCTGTCCCTCTTCAAAAGTGTTTTGCTTCTGACTACCCCCTCTCTCAATCTGCTCTCCCTTCTATCACCCCCCTTCTCTTATCCTCTTCCCCTCCTACTTTCCTATAGGATAAGATAGATTTCCATACCAATTGAGTGTGTATGTTATTCCTTCCTTAAGCCAAATCTGATGAGAGTAAGATTCACTCATTCCCTTTCACCTCCTCCCTCTTCCCCTCTACTGTAAAAGCTTTTTCTTGCCTCTTTTATGTGAGATAATTTACCTATTCTACCTCTCCCTTTCCCTTTCTGTCTTCAAGTATTTAAAAGACTGGCATGTCTCTCTCCTCCTCCCACCCCTCCCCTCAGAGAGCAGAGCTAGGAACAAGGGGTGGAAGTAGCAGAGAGGTGGATCTAGGCTTGATGTCAGGAAAAATGTCCTAATAGTCAGAATTGTGCAAAAATAGAATGGCCTTCCCCATGAGGTGATGGGAGGTTTTCCACTAGTCAGGTATGTATGTTGTCCTGATGATTCTTGTTCAGGTACAGATTGGCCCGGATGGTCTCTGAGCTCCTTTACTACTGGACACTGATTCTGTGAAAGCCCTAGAATCTCTTACTTCCTCTAAGAAACAGACACCAGACCTTTTCTACTCTGCTTTGCCAACATTTCTCACATCCATCCCTTTCTCTCCATTCACATGTAGTTCAGCCCTTATCACCTCCCCCTGGACTGTGCCAACAGGCTCCTAATTGGTCTCCTTTTCTCCAGTCTCTCCACACTCTAATCCATTTTACACACAGCTGCCAAAGTGATTTCCTACCGTATGGTTCTGACCTTGTTGTTCTCCTACTTAAAAAGCTCCAGTCATTCTCTTTTACCTCTCCAATTAAATACAAACGCTTCTGTTTGGCATTTAAGCCCTTCACAATCCAGCTGTGACCTACCTTTCCAGGCTTATTACATACTACTCCCCTTCAAACACACTGTTCTCCGGTCAAACTGGTCCATTTGCTATTCTTCATACATGATTTTCCATCTTCCATGGTCATACCTTTGCACAAGCGGTGCGCCATTCCTGGAATACACACCTTCCTTACCTGTACTCCTCAGAATTCCTATCATCCTTCAAAGCTCAGCCCAGGAGACACTATTTTTTTTCTTTTCTTTTTTTCTACTTAATAGCATTTTAATTTTTTCCAATTACATGTAAAGACAGTTTTCAACATTCCCTTTCATAAGATTTTCAGTTCCAAATTTTTTTCTGCCCTCCCTCCTCCCCAAGATGGCAAGCAATCTGATATAGGCTAAATATGTACAATCATGTTAAACATATTTCCACATTAGTCATGTTGTAAAAGAAGAATCAGAACAAAAGGGAAAAACCAGGAGAAAGAAATAAAAGAGAAAATAGTATGCTTCAATCTGTATTCAAACCCCACAGTTCTTTCTCTGGTTGTGGGTAGCATTTTCCACCGTGAGTCTTTTGGAATTGTCCTAAGACAATTATTGTATTTCTGAGAAAAGCTAAGTCTATCAAAGTTGGTCATCTCACAATGTGGTTCTTACTGTGCCCAACGTTCCTAGGAGACACTTCTAACAAGAGGCCTTTCATCATTCTAATTTCCAGTGCTTCCCTTCCCCCCCCCAAAAAAAATTCTTTGTATTTATTTTGACTGTATTTTGTAGTTACTTGCATGTGTATATGTTGTTTTCCCCAGTAGAATGTAACTCCTTGAGGTGTTTTATATTTGTATTTGTATCTTCAAGCTTTAGCACATAGTAGGCTCATAATACATGTTTACTGGTCCAGCCCACATATGCCTGCATTGGTATTGACCACTGTAATGGGCAATTAATAATAACTAATGAAACAATCTAAGCATAGATGAATTATTAGGTAGACATCCAAAAGAATGGGTCAGTGAACTCCCCAGTTAGTCCAAAAACCCTGAATATAGAGTAAAGCAGATTTTTATACCCCTCAAAATTAATAAGTCCATAAAGTCCAATTAATTATAACAAAAATAATTAGCCAGAATACAAAATAAGGTAATCTAATTTCTAATTGGAGGAAAGTTTAGGGGCTTTCCAAGTTGGGAGGAGAGTTTTAGTCCAGTTGAGAAGGGGACAAGTAGGTTTTGGGATCCTCTGTTTATAAAATGAAAAGATATTAATTACATCCACCCACATGTATGAAACATATAATGAAACATATAATCTACCAGAAAAATAATGAAAATGGAGAACACATGTAGTAGCACAAGATGGAGTCAGTATTCAAAGATAAAATCTGATTTGTCCTTCTGATTCTCTCACTAAACTAGTTGCATTTTGTGCATGGTCTTCATTTTATCTTATCACCACTATGATATAGTAGAAAGAACACTGGAGTTAGCATTTGGGATGCCTGAGTTCGAGTGTGGGAAGATTGGTATTGGCCTACTAACTTTTTTATTTGATTTTCTGAGTGGGTGAGGATTAGGGAACGGAGCCAAGTCAGGATGTTAGCACACGCCAAGCAAGGTTTGGGAACTGTGCTTTAAGCCAACATTAGAACACGTGTGAATTAAATATGAGCATAGAAGAGGGAACATCTCTTGGAGCCTCAGTTTTCTGATCTATAAAATAGTAACCCTGTGTAAGTGTGAATATAATAGAATACAGCTTTCTAGCATTAAAATTGTATTTATTTTTTAAGTGTTAAAAAGTATCCTTCCTGCATATTATAATGTAGGCAGTTAACTACCTTTAGTTACAGCTTTGTTGAGAAGCCATGGCTTCATTATGTTTCAGTTAACTAAGTCTATTGGTCTAATCCTGAATCCTTAATATGTATTACTTCTGCTCCAGTCAATTTATCAACAAATATTTGCTAAATACCTACTGTGTGCACTCTTCCAGGGACTGAGGATATAAAGGGGGAAAAAAGGGAAGAAGAAACACATGCTGCCCTCATGGAGCTTACAATCTAATGGGGGGTAGAAAGGACAGACACATATATATGTATAAGCATATACAAAGTAGGGGCAGCTAGGTGGCACAGTAGATAGAGTGTCAGGCCTGGAGTCAGGAAGACTTATCCTCCTGGATTCAGATCTGACCTTAGACACTTACTAGCTGTGTGACCCTGGGCAAGTCACTCAGTATCCTGCTCTGTAAAATGAGCTAGAGAAGGAAATGGCAAACCACTCCAGTATCTCTGCCAAAAAAAAAAGCCTCATGGACAGTGAGATATAACTGAAATGACTGAACAACAAGTATGGGATGAATCTGAGTAAAGAGAGATTTGGTGCGGGGAGATCAATTAAAAGGTTATAGCAATGGTCCAGGTGAGTGGTAATGAAGGCCTGAATGAAAATGGTGGCTATGTGATGGGGAAAAGGGAATGTATGAGATAAATATGGAAATCAAATGGACAAGATTTGGCAATTGATTGGATATGTGGAATGAGGCATAATGAGGGGTCTAAGTTGACAATGGTTGCAAATAGGTATTTGAAAGGATCATAGTGCCAAAAGGTTAGAACTAGATGGGTCCTGAGAGGCCATTAAATCTAATCCTCTCATTTTACAGATGAGGAATCTGAGGCCCAGGGAGACTTGTTGAAGATTACATAGATCTAGTAAATGTTGGACTGGAAGACCACTTCTCTAAGTGACCCCATATAAGGGGTGCCATTAATAAAAATAGAAAAGTTTGGAAGGTTATGTTTAGAGAAAAAGACAATGAGTTCTGTTTTTGTGCTGTGTTTGAGATGCTTATGGGACATCAAATTCAAAAATTCTGATAAGCATTTGATGATATGAAACTAAGATCTCAGGAGAGAGACTGGAGTTGAATATATAAATGTAGGAGTCAGCCTAGAGATGATAATTAAATCCATGAGAATAAGGTCCCCCCCCAGTGAGGGTGAGAAGAATTAGGGGCCCATGGAGGTGTCTTGGGGGTATACCTAGAGTTAGGGGGCATGATATGAATGATGATTCAGCAAAGAAGACCAAGAAGTGATCAGAAAGCTAGGAGAACAAAAAGATCTGTGTCATGAAACCCAGGGAGGAGAGAGTAAGTGATGAGGTGATGAGCAGTTTTGAATGCTTTAGAGAGATGAAGGAGAATAAAGACAGAGAAAAGGCCATTAGATTTCACCATTAAGAGATCATTAGTAACTTTGGAGAGAAAAGTTTCAGTTGAACAATGAGAGATTGCCCCAAAATGAATTGGCTTGCTTCAGGAGGTAAAGTGCTCCCTCTCATTAATGGCCTTCAAACAAAGGTAAGATAACTCCTTATCAGGTACTTTGTAGAAGGAATCCTCTTTCAGGCATGAGTTGAACAAAATGGCCATTGATATCTGTTCCAACTCTAAAATTCTCAGATTTGCCAGTTTGAGTGGAAACTGAATAGTACGGTGTCCTTTCACATTCTTCAAACTGAGATAAAATTTAAAAAATCTGTCTAACCCAAGGGCTCTCTCTTCTAGGGACCGGTTCAGGACAATGGTGAACGTCCTTGGTGATGCATATGGAACAGGAATTGTAGAGAAGCTTTCTAAAAAAGAGCTAGAGCAGATGGACGTCACATCTGAAGTCAACATTGTGAACCCCTTTGCCTTGGAATCCACAATACTTGATAATGAAGATGCAGAGACCAAGAAATCTTATGTCAATGGAGGCTTTGCCATAGACAAATCTGACACTATCTCATTTACTCAAACATCACAGTTCTAGAGTCCCTTCCTTACTCAGAGCTGGGAACATTTCAGGACATCACCACAAGAGGGATCTCTCAGCAAATTAAAACATAATTAAGAGGGGGTAAAAAGCAATTAGCCAACCTGAGTGCTTTTGATTTGATACCCAGACTTCCAGATTACTTTCTATATTGGATGCTCAGCCTTTGCTTCAGAAAGTAGAGGAAGAAGGAGAGGGAGAGAAAAGGGTAGAGGGATTGATTGAGAGGAGTTAAATGATCTGTATTTTTAAAAAATTATCACTGACAGAATTTGGAAGTATGTAAACAGTGACTGTTGTAATCACAGCCATAAAATGGAGCAAAGATCGTTGTTTTCTCGGGAATAGTTCGATTTTTCACCTTTTTTTTATTCTTCTGCCATTCTGAGCCCAAGACTTTATTTGAACTCTCCTTTGATACATGTTTTCTTTTGCTTAACACATTTTTTCCTTTTTTTGTGGCAGATTATAGTGCATCCAAATAGTCACTGGATAATGTGCCAAATTTTCCATTTTGCACTTGTCTGAAGCAAATTACTTTGGAAAGAAAACAAACCAGCAGAGTCCTGCAATAAACATTTTAAGATGGGGGGGGGTCTTGTTTCGTGTTTTAAAAGTACTGTATTAGAAATCTAGGAACTATTAACACTACCACCACAATCGTTCATTATCAAGAGGTCTATTATATACAAATATTTATTTTTTTCATAGAGTTGCCAGAGGTCAGAATTGAACTGTCAATGTGGAATAAATATTTTCCTTGTTCTTCAAAAGCATTTACAAAGCCACTGTTAATAAGCTTGGGAGGCATGTGAGCATTTCTCCATCAGGTGCACAAAAGGAAGATGTCAGTCTGGCTCTTACCATACCATCTCTGTGCATGAGTCCCATGACAAATGGAGGGAATGAAGATGACCAGTGGTGGCCTAACCAATGCTTTAGGACTTCCAGAATTTAGCTGCTAGAGAGGAAAATCCCTTCATCTCTGCTCTGTAGAAGACGATAAGACAGTATGCCACAGAGCCACTCACAGGCTAGATAAGTTTTTAACTTTCTTATTTCTTAAATCCCAGAACCCTGGCTTCTTTATCTTTTTGCACCCATCCAGTTCTGAATGAAAGGGCCAAGCTGCATCAGCCAAGCTATATTTTCCTAAATGTCCTGGATTGAACAAACCAGGAGGACCAGAAAAGGACTGTGTCCATGATGGATTTCCACAGAGGAGGAGCTCCATCGCATCCAATGTTTGTATGCAATACCCCAGGGAAGTCTCTTCCATTCTTTGATCCTCATTATTCTTCCCTGGGGAGCTGTCCAGTTGTACTGGTCATCATTCTCCTGAAGCATAAGGAAGCTCATGCTTTGACTGTCCTCCATTTGTAAATAATGCTTAACGTAAAACTGCACCTACACTGTTGTCCAAAATAATCAAGTTTCTGCAGTATTAGTCCATTTCAACCTACGCTTTTGTATTTAACAAAATCAGGAAATGTGCCAAAGAAACAATGAAAAAAAATAAATGTGGCTATAGACTGACTGCACCTTAAATTAAGTTTGTGAGATAAAAAAAAAATACTGTATGTAATCCCAGCCCCAGAAAATCTCCAGTGTGATGCTCTGTCAACTTTGGAATCCCAGTATCAGTGTTGTTTATATGAAATAAAGCTGTCTCTCTAAACAAAGAAAAGTTGACTTTAGAATAACTCCCCCTACCTTGACCATGAACTCACTGATTAGTAACACTGAGGTTTCCAGGGTTGTTTATTAACTAGGGATCTTCTTTGTTTTGGAGTCAGTTTATAATCAGCTTCCTAACTGCTCTGTGCTGCTATTAACTCATAAATGAGAGTGATGTTGTCATTCCAATATAAATAAATGATCTCCTTCAACCTTTTCCCCCACTCCTTCCTTCCCTTTTCCATTTATTTATTTAAAGAGATAAAGGTAAATCATTTCTTTTTTTATATCGGGTCATAGATCTAAATCCAGAAGGGACCTTAGAAGTCATCTAGTCCAATACCCTTATTTTACAGTAGAGGAAACTGAGGCCCAAAGTCACAAGGAGGAAGTATGAGAGTTGGAGTCTGAACCCAGGGCCTCTTACTCCAAAGCCAGTGTTCTTTCTAAACTGTTCTATTCTTTTCTATCTACCTACCACCACTCTCTCTACTTATCTACCATATAATCTCACACAACCAAAAAAGATGCTGACAAAGTAGTTGTAGATTAAAAGCCTGATAACTCACACGTAACACCTAGCTATTTGTTAACATATAAATAGCAACACAAAATACATAGCAATACAAAACACATAGCACTTTCTTGGGCAAAGCCTTTTAATTTATCTCATTTGGTCCTCACAACGGCCTTGTAAAGTAATACAGACATTATTAGCCCAGTGTTACAGATGATGGGCTCAAACGGGGTACGTCTATGAGGGCCGAGCTAGGAAATAGAGGAGCTGGGATTGGAACCCAGGTCTTCTGACTCCTAAGTCAAGCTCTCTTTCCACTACATGCTACCAAATAGAACACAAGTTTACATTTGCTAGAAGTTGACTGTACAGATTGCCAAGAATTTGAAAAGAACCATCTCTTCTCATCAGCTAGTTTTGTATATCCTAGAGTCAGAGGACCAGGGTTTGAATGCCAAGTCTGCTAGCTCCATGTATGCGATCTTTGGAAGTCACTTCATCTCTCTGAACCACAATGTGCTCCTTGAGTTGGTCATTTCTAAGGTCCCTTTTAGTTTTCAATCCTGTGGTCCTTTACAAAAGCTTATTGCCAGGCGATTATGAGACCTCTATTCAAGAGTGTTGACAGAGGACCCACCTTCAAATTCCAGCTCTTTTACAACATACATGACTTTGGGCAGGTCACTAACTTCTCTAAGCCTCAGTTTCCCCATGTGAGGGGCTAGATTAGATGACCTCTAAGGCCCCTTCCAACTCAGTTTATGACCCTATGATCTTTTCTCCTTGCTGTGCTTTGAAAGTAGTAGAGGAGATTACAGGGGAGGGAAGCAGAGCCTGAGAAAACTGATCATATAATTCTCATTGTTATCCAATGACAATTATAGGGCACAACAGCACAATATTAGTGCTATTCTGACAGTGCTTAATCAGATTTTACAATCAGATTTACGATCATGGGAAGAAGTGAGGTTACAGAAAGCACTCTCATAATGTCATGATAATACTGGTTTTAATTATTCTGATTTTGGTTATGAAACAGGGCAAATAGGATCATAGAATTTCAGAGTTGGAATGGGGCTTAGAGATCACCCCCTTCCTTCATTTTACAGATGCAACTGAGGCCCAGAGAGGGGAAGCTACTTAGCCAAAGTCACACAGCTATTAAATGGATTCAAACCCAGGTCCCCTGACTTCAGATCCAATGCGTGCTCTAGGGTGTCACAGTTCTGTCTCCTGACTCTGTACAACCCAGACAACCTGCTATACAAGAGCTACCCGATGAAACGTGCCCGGATCCTAGCCCGCCAGAGTGTCCCAGAATCTTACATAGCTTTCCATTGCTTCTAGTGAATCAACTGGGCCTGAAGCAGATGTTTCATGGATGTCCATCTTGGCCCTCCCGTTGTTATGACAGCACAGAATTGATGGGCTGCTGGCCTTTCACTCAAAATGCATTCCCAATGAGGGAGGGGCTCCCAATTGCGGCACAAAATCACTGGTGGCCATTCCATAGCACCCAAGCTGTCAATCACAAAGCAGAGATACCATCAGGTAGAATCTTCATAGATCCAGAGTTAGAATGGACCTTGGGGACCATTGAGTCCAGCTCTCTCCTTTCAGAAATGAAGAGATTGAAGCTTAGGGAGAAGGTTCAACCATTTACCCAATGTTCCATTAATTGTGCCAGAAGTGGGATTTGAACCCCAAACCTTTGACTAAATTAAGTCTAAGGCTTGGGAAGAGCTAGTAAAGGATGGAGTTACTCACAATGAATCAGGTTAGTGAGTTTAAAAAACACATAAATAGATGTAAACATAGCGTAGTGCACATTGGCCACTGGACTAATAAAGAGCTTTAAAGTTTGTGAAGTATTTTAAATTTATTATTTCATTCAATCCTTATAATCCCTGCTATGATACTAGTAATTGGCATCATTTCCTTGTTACTTAGTGGCCATGCAGTATAATGGGAAGAATAATGGATCAGATACAGAAAATCTGGGTTCAAAATCACACCTCTGTCACTATCCATGTGACCTTAAGCAAACTGATTAACCTCTCCAGGTCCATGATCCTATGATGAAAACACTTCAGCTCACAAAGGTGCAGTGACTCTCCCAAGGTGACAAGTCTAACGTATAATTGGAAGAGGAAAAACTAGAACCCAGGTCTTCTGATTTCCAGTCTAACACTCTTTCTACTGGACTCTGCTTAGCTGAACTTAATGTAAAGATACACACTCATGAGAAACTTCAATATTTCAATGAATTTGTAATCTTAGTGATATGGGCATTCCTTCCAGCGATGCAGATCCCCTATGTATGGTTGACCAGCCTGTGCAATCCTGATCCTTATTGCTCATAAATTCCCCACAAGGATCTACCCAAGATGCTGGCAACTTAGGTCTCCTGACATTATATAAAAACTATGAAGCTGTCCATCAGATACTCTTCACTCTTACTGTGTGACCCGTTCATTTTTTTTTTTTTTTTGGTGAAACAATTGGGGTTAAGTGACTTGCCCAGAGTCATAGAGCTAGTGAGTGTTATATGTCTGAGGCCGGATTTGAACTCAGGTCCTCATGACTCAGGGCCATGCTCTATCCACTGTGCCACCTAGCTGTCCCCCATTCATCTATTTTCTAATCATGTATGTATCCCTCTTAAGTGGCAGCACTGACCTTAGTGAAGAGAAAGTCAACCTTACAGCCAAGAACTATCTCTGACATGCTAACCATATATAACACTGAACATGTTACTTAATCTCTCATTGTTGAGTCAGTTCTCTTGGTTTATTAAATTACAGAGCAAGATTTGTTTTGCATTGATAGAGGCATATAGGACTGATACGTGTGTATGTATGCATATATAGAGACATATATACATTCATATATATTATATTTTGTGTCAGTGTGCATATATGTATGTGTATGTATGTCTATGCATGTATAGGTAGATAGATGGAAAGATAGCTCTATCTTAAGCCACTTCTATGTAATTCATCATTAGTAGAATTAATCTGTAACCTTCACACATCCACCATGTGCCACTTCATTGCCCATTGGGTAACCAATGAAAAAATCTTTAACACATCTATTCTAATCAATGAGTTTTGGGTATTTTGGAGTCAGAGGGTCTAGGCTTAAATCCTCTCTCTAGGTCTCAGTTTCCATCCTGAAAAATGAGGAGATTGGACTAGATGAATTTCTTGGGCCCTTCCCAGCTGTCTGAATCCTATGTATAAACACTGAGCCAAGCAATTATGATACCTTGATGCAGATGTGTTGACTTTTGCATCTTGTCTCCTGCTTTGCTTTGAAGCTAGAACAGGAAAGAGGAAATTCTAAAGATAAGGCAGGAGGACCCTGAAGTATAGAAAAAAAAATAACAATAAATCTT